AACCATTAAGTTTCTCAAGTTCAGGTCTCCACAAGCTCTGTCCAAAGTGATTAAGAATTTACCAGAATTCTGAAGCAGCATTCACTTCACAAATAACGGGACAGATCCAAGTCCAAAAAGTGTATAGCATACACACATAGCACAATAAAAACCAGCAGCTGTCCAAAGAGCAGGGACAAGAGCAGGTACGCTTAAATAAATATTGCAGACTTGGGTAACGGGGAAGGGATCAATACCTGTGCAAAATGGCTGATTCCTACTGTTCCAATGCCATTTTCAACTGATACCCATTCATGCTTGTCTGTGAATTTGCGGGCTAAAATGAAACAAACTTGATATTTCAGAAACAAGTGACACGTTGCTTGCTTAAATACAATAACACATTTACAGGCTTAAACTGTGGGGTTTTTTTATACTGAGGTTAGTTTTGCTCATTTTTGAACAGCACATACAATTTACAGAAGCATTTTTTTCTGCTCATCACATGCTTAGTGACCCGGTAGAAGCTCACCAGGGGTTCTGCTGAGAGTATTACTAGTTCCTATGCAATCATCTAGAGACTGATACAGTACAGGAGCAAAAGCAGCAGTTCTACTTCAAACAAAAGTATTAATCTAAAGCATGTATGTGTACTTTTCTCATGGTTTTGCACTTCTGTGATAGCTTAGTGGCTTTTCATGCATATTTAGGGTTTGTTTCTGACAACTCCTTTATTATTCCTGGGAAGAGGCCGGTGTTAATGACCCGTTAGAAACAGTGTCAGCATTACAGCATCTCATTCAAAGTACTTAAAGAGACAGCAGCTGAAGGAAAAAAGTTGCAACCTGGCTAGTTTAAGTGGCTGATTCCCTTCCCTCCCCTTAACATTTCCTGTAGTCTATTTCTCCCTGTTTACTGTTGTCACAGATCTATGTAAAATTAAGGCCAATTAATACAGAGCAAATTAATAAGGTGACTTATGCAGGCAACTGTTACTTAAGGGAATTAGCTCTCTGTTAGCACTGTTACTGTGAGAAGAACACAGTAGTTATTGTGTATGGTTTTTAAATGAGCAATGTAAGACCCTGTTTAGTCTTTTCACAGCAAACCTACAATTCCACACATATTTTAGATCTGTAAGACTCAGGGCAGCTTGTACTAGCTTTTATTAGCAGCAGTTATTTTTATAAAGTCATATGTAAAAACTTCAAAAGAAGTAATTGAAACAGGCAACATTTTTCTTGCTAACATTTTACCTGGAGCTGTTGTTACTCTCAGCATTTTCAGCCTGCTTGGTCTGTTTTCTCACTTCCATAGTTTCCCCATAGATACTTTCTTTCCCCTCCTTTTTTAAAAAATTAATTTAGTTTAAATTTTCACTTGTAGCACCTATCCCATCAGGCAAGGGATGTTCCAGAAGCTGGAAAATATAACTTTTTAAATAGAGCTCCCTGTGTGATTAGTGCCAGAGTAGTAACAGCTGGACCTTCCTTTTGAGTTCAAAATTCTTCTCTCAGGCTCTTCCTCCAGGCTGGACTACTTACACCCGCTAGAGAAACTACACTTCTGCAAATCCTTGTATATTTTGTAAGCTTGTACATGAAGGAAAACAGAAGCTCTAGCTGTAGACCTGCTAAAAATCTTTCCACTCTAAGTTGGTAATATTTGAAGCTGTTTCAATTGTAGTATAGTAAAAGGCAAATATGAAGTATTTTTCCACGAATTATCACTAAAAAACACCAGAGAATTTCAGCTAGCATTACTGATACCTACACAAACCTCTCAGGACACATTCTAATGAACAGATGAAATAAAATGTCTTAAATAATTTTAGGTCAAGACATTAAGCCTATGGGTAATAGGAATTTAATTGGAAATGAGCAATGAACCTTAAGAACAGAAAATGACACAGAATCTCAAACCCAAGGACTTCTATGACCAGTTTGGAACACAGCAATAAAATGCTCTCCACCGTTAGAAGAGTACATAAGCTTCTGATAGGACAAAAAAAAAAAAAGTGAAAAATTAAAAATTCTAACCATGTAACAAAAAACACTGCAAGTAAAGGTCAAATTAAAAAGAGTTAATAAGTAATCTCAAAATTTGAACTTTGAACTTATGTGATCAGCCCATCAAATTAAACTAATATTAAATGTCAATACCCAATCTCTTCTGTGAGCATTCTTTTTCAGAACAGCAGCTTAATCTACTCTAGCTTCATTAATTTCAACATTACTTTGGTTTCAGCTTAACTACACATTCTGAATTCAGACCTTCGTTTAGTTTAGCCTGCCTCTATTAAATATTTCATAAATATATACCTGAAGAGTGAAGGAAAACTCACACCTCCACAAAGAGGCATACAAAATTTTTCCTCTCTGCCTAAAACAAAATCATAATTTATGTTATTCCTTCAAGTGATATCTATAGAAAAACAATGGGTATATTCTACAATCAGAATAGTGAAAAAGCTTAGATCTTGACTCAATTTGGCAATAATAACTAATAAATGTTATGTCTTTCACTTGTAGCAGAAGACAGTTAAACAGATAGGTTAAAAGACTATCGGGAAGGAAATTTATGACCTCTTCTTAGTGGCAGTCACTGCTTTTATGGCATATTCTCCTTCCCTTCTCTCCTACCTTTTCAGCATTTCTGTCTTCAAGTGCCACAGGTTCTGTTTTTCAAACTTCCCTGGCTAACTTTCATCCAAAGAGAGCTTCGACAGCAGCAGGTACTTTCAGAATTAACTACCCAAGGGCAGGATCACACCAAGCACCTCTTGCTTTACCACTTCTGTGGCTATACTGCACAGGAGCTGGCGAGGCAGAGCTCAGCAGGCCCAAAGCCCCGAGATCTGGCGCAGGTTTCCTGGCAGCCCACGCCAATTTCATCACTGGGGCTACTGCAGGCCTGCGTTCCATCCTCCATCCACCCGCTTCTGCCCCTTTCTTGTGCTGCTACTGAGCTCCTTGGAGCCATCAACGAGCTGCTCCAGCACGGCGATGCCAGGAAAAGCTACCCACGGTTTTGTCAAGGCTGTGCTCTCCACACCCGGCCTGGTCAGTGGAGCCTATGGCTGGGGCCAGAAGGGGACAGGGACACTTGGTAAAAAAATGCAGCGAGGAGAGGAGGTTAAAAGTTTTGTTCCAGTTAAGAGAGGCGAACCATCTCCTCACGGGAGGAGGAACG